TTGAAAATAACCGACTAAGAAAGTTAAGATGAGATTATAAAGGTGAAATTGACCTGGGGATCGAGCGTAGACATGAGGGGGTTGGCCAAACAAGTCTATGAACTTAGCCTTCAAATTCTTGAATCGAAGTTCAGCTTCTTCAAGCTGTGATCCACCACCATAAACTGGCTCAAGATCAGAGAATATTGGAATTGGTAATTCCTCGTGCCTAGCCATTTAATTTCGGTTTCTGCTCAACTTTTTTCTCTCGCTTTCTGCGACAAAGGAATATACTGTATCCAAAAGAAAAGGATATATATATATATAAGGAGTTAAAAATAAAAAGAGGAGTTGCTCTCCGAACCGGAATGTGAGATACAAGGAATCATACAAAAAGATTATGGATAATTTGTGGGACTCCTATATTCTCTGTGACTCAATACTTTATTTTACTTTACCCATCTACTTTTGTTGACCTTTTGCACTTCTTTTGTGGGACTCCTAAAGTCACGAGACTGGTGACTAGACGAACCAAGAAAGTGGTGTAAAGTGTCCTTAAGGTTACAGGTGAAGCTGACTTCCCGCGGTAGCCCCTTGGACCTTAGCCTCTTAAGGGTTGGGTTCTAGTGGCGGGCTCTTGGGTCGTCCGGTTAAATTGTATTTGTGTTATTTTTGAAAGGAACTTTAATACGAGTGAAAGTACAGCTCTCAAAAGGTAAAAATTTCACGGCCCCATTTAACTTATACCTATTTTTTTTAAAACTTTTTAACTTGTACCCACTTTTTAAACAACTTCAGCTCCCTTTCTCCTCCCCCTTCTCCTCCTTCATTTTCTTTTTTCTTCTTCTCCTGTAGCCCTCTTGTGCAGTTTTTCTCTCTACTGGCATTTGCATCTATTATCGCTTTTTGTGCCACATTTTAACCTGTGCCCGCTTTACAAAAAAAATTGCAAGCGTACCCGCTTTTTCACATAACTTCAGCACACGGGGCTGAAGTAGCAAAGGCAATTACACAAAACTTCAGCATTTTAATAGTCGGGCCTGAAGTTCAGCTCTAGAGTTGAAGTTTTTTTTTTTAACTCGCGAGTTTGCCAGTTATAAAATAAAAACTTCAGCTCTAGAGCTGAAGTTTTATTTTATAAGTTTTTGTTTAGTAACCGGGAAACTTCAGCTCTAGAGCTGAAGTTTGCCAGTTATAAAATAAAAACTTTAGCTTTAGAGCTGAAGTTTTTGTTTAGTAACCCGGAAACTTCAGCTCTAGAGCTGAAGTTTTTGTTTAGTAACCCGGAAACTTCAGCTCTAGAGCTGAAGTTTCACAGTTATAAAGGGAAGCTGAAGTTTTTTAAAAAGTGGGTACGGATGCAAACAAAAAGACAAAGCGGCTACAGGTTAAAAAGGGGCGCCCAAATAGGGCGCCCCGTGCAATTTTTACGTTTGCACCCTGTGGTAAACCCAACACTAAACAAATAACATAGAATGTTTGTCAGTTTCTTTCTCACCTGGCGACATTTTTCATTTATACGCATGCTTTATCACACTTCAACATACAAAAACAAAATTTTAGATTCGTGAGATACAAAAATTCACATTTGAATAGCAATATACAAATATGACCAGGTCAATGAAAGAACAAAGATAAATTCCATTTGGATAAGGAGTACTCAGAATTGAGCATGGAGCTTGTTTAAAGCAAAAGAGCTTGTTAAAATCTAATAGCGGTAAACTAAAGTTGGGTGAGTTACAACACAAAGACAAGAGACCTTAAGTTTCCCGGTTACAACACAAAAACTTCAGCTCTAGAGCTGAAGTTTCCCAGTTACAACACAAAAACTTCAACTCTAGAGCTGAAGTGAGCTGAAGTTTCCCAGTTACAACACAAAAACTTCAGCTCTAGAGCTGAAGTTTCCAGTTACAACACAAAAACTTCAGCTCTAGAGCTGAACTTCAGGCCCGGCTACTAAAATGCTGAAGTTTTGCGTGATTCCCTTGGCTACTTCAGCCCCGTGTGCTGAAGTTATGCGAAAAAACGGGTACGCTTGCAATTTTTTTTGCAAAGCGGACACAAGTTAAAATGTGACACAAAAAGCGGGTGTAGGTGCAAAGCCCCAAGTGGATGATCTTAGTAAATCTTTATTTCCTGCCTTATGAACCAAATTTCAAATTTAATAAGTATTGCTTCTCGCTTGTCTCATAGATAACACTTTTAACTTTTGACTTTGAAGTTCTTCCCACGAGACAAATGGCACTCAAAAGTTAAAGATCATCCAAAAGGTAACATATTTCTATAATTTTTTTGCTTTAAGAGCATGTTTGGAAAGCCACCTAGGAATTGGATTTGGGTATAATTGGGTGTAATTGCACAGTTTAGCATGTTTTGTCTAGTCAGGTAATTACTTGGTTAGCATGGAATTGGGTGCAATTGAAGAGGTGTAATAACACTCTTCAATTCTCAAGGGGAAGGTGAGAATTGCTGGTAATTACACTATGTAATTACAATGTTACTTTTTAATTTCTTTCCTTTTGTTTTTATTTTAATTTATTTTCTTTATAACTTTTTATTTCCATTACTTAATTTCTCTTTATTTTAATTTTTTTATTTTTACTTTTAATTTCTTTTTTAATTTTAAAATATATTTTTCTTTGTATATTATTTGTCTTTTATTTCTCTACCTTTACTTCTTGTGATTCCATGTAATTGATCGTATATTTTATTTTTATTAATTTTATTTATTTATTTATTAGTGTAATTACATTATTTTTCTTGTTTTTGAAACTACACCTCCTAATATTAGAAATAATGAGTCATTAACAAACTTGGCATATAATGAGTGATGTCATTAAAGTAGAATTTTGTTATTGAATGAGGCTGTAAACTTATTATATTTCCTAATCTTAAGTTGTATAGGAACTTATTTTTATTATGTTGTATTTTGACATATGTTAAACTTTTTTTTTATTTTGAAATTATGCTATATTTATGGTTTCAATTCACCCGCTACTTATTTTAGTAGTATTGGCTTGTTATTTCACATTGCATGTTGTTCATTTTTTAGTTAAAATTGATAGATTAGTTTTGTCAAATACTTGAATAATTATATGATAGATTATATTGGATTGTTGTTATTGTTGTTGTATTTTATCAAACAAGCATTTTCATGATGTTCTTACAAAACTTATTTTTTAGTTTTTATAATTAATTAAACTAAATATTATTAATTTGAAAAATATATATTAATTATTTTTATAATATTAGTTATAAATATATGATTACTAATTAATGAATATTCAAGAAAAAATGTGCATCTTAAATACCAAATCTAATATCATTTATAGACATATATTTATTATATTATCTTTTAAGTTTTGATAATTACCTTATTTAAAATTTAATCTAACTGTGTAATTACACTTGTGCAATCAAATAATACGCTTGTAATTACACTATAATTACGTTATGACAAACAAACAGATCGTGGTAATTACTATATTGTGTAATTACAAGATTGTGTAATTACTACCTAGTAATTACACCAATTTCAATTACCGAGTGATCCTAATACTTCTCGTGTAGTTTTAAAATTTACTAGCAACTTTTAGTCAAAAGGTACATGTGTCTATGTCTAATACAAGATCAAAATCCGGTCAATTTTATCATTAAGCAAGGAATACGACTAGTATAATTATGGGACGGAAAGAATGCATAACTAATCATTATGTCAAAGATGTAATAATCAGAAAATATTTTATCGACAATATAGTTGGGCCACGATCCTTATCCATATGAACTAACTCAAGTACTTTACGTGGGATATGAATATCTATCTATCTATTGTTGTAAAGCCTATAGTTAATATGGATGTCCACTACTCCCAATATTTTCACCTATGATGTAAATAACCTCCCACTATTCATCACTATTATAATTGTAACTCCCACACCTCCATAACCTCTGCCCATGATCTTCCCCCATGATCTCAATTGTTAATGTCATGTTTAAGAGAACACACTTGAACACTTGATGAAATAAGAAAGTTATCTATTCTTCTCTTATTCTATTTATCTTCTTGTTTTATATTGTTACTTTGAGCTACATTTCCTAACACGTTATCAGCACGAAGTTGAGCTCTTTTCGTTGTTCAGGTATATTTGTTCATTTTGTTTTCTTCATTGTATATTTTGATTTCATGATTAGTACCTTTAATATGCAGTTTTATAATTTCTCACATCTCTAGATATGTGTAAAAATAAAAAAATTCTATGTTTCTTTAGTTTAAGTTATTTGTATGATTGTCATGTGAAAGTTGCTTATTTTCATGTTAATCGAATTAATTGAGAGAAGAATACTAGTTTTATGTTGTTCGACATTTGAAATTGTGTTAAAGTTAGAAGACATTTTTGTTCTAGTTAACATCAAGATATACAAATAATTTGAAGAAACAAATAGTATTCTTTTGTACGGAATTATCACTTTAGTGTATATAGATCACAAATTTTATATTATTTCAATTTTTAAGATTCTTTACGCTATTATCCTAATGATTTCTAATTATTTATCATCTTTGATTGTTTTCACTATGTCGAATTTGTCAAAGCTTGAGTTTGTGGCACTTGATATTTTTGGAAAGAATTAGCTATCATGGGTTCTCGATGCTGAGATTCACTTAGCCGCTAAAGGCCTTGGTAACACCATTACTCGGGGTAATGAGGCATCAAGCTAAGACAAAGCGAAGGCCATGATTTTCCTTCGTCATCATTTGGATGATGGTTTGAAGGTTGAATATTTGACAGTGAAAGATCCACTTGAATTGTGGACTGGCCTGAAGGAAAGGTATGATCACTTAAGGCTACGGTTTGCCAAGGGCTCGATATGAGTGGATGCACCTACGGCTGCAAGATTTTAAGACCGTAAGTGAGTATAAATCTGCTGTATTTTGAATAACTTCCCAATTGAAATTATGTGGGGATGTTATGAATGATGAGGATTTGTTGGAAAAGACTCTTACGACTTTTCATACCTCAAATATGGTATTACAGCAGCAATACCGTGAAAGGGGTTATAAAAAGTATTCTGAATTGATCTCATGCCTTCTCGTGGCTGAGCAACATAATACCCTTTTGCTGAAAAATCATGAAGCCCGTCCCACAGGGTCAGCTCCGCTTCCTGAAGCGAATATGACAGCTAGACGTGATAAGTCTGGAAAAAGGCAGAATAATAATCATGGTCATATGAATGTACGTGGGCATGGCAATGGTAAGAGACGATATAATAGTCGTCGTCGTGGTGGTCATGGCAAACGAGAGAACAATATGGGTTCTCAAAACAATCCTTCAAGAGGCAAAAGCAGTAACTGCCACCGCTATGGCATGAAAGGTCATTGGAAAATTGAATGTCGTGCACTTGAGCATTTTGTCAGGCTTTATCAAAACTCCATCAAAAGAAAGGCAAATAATGTTGGAGCATCTTCTGCTAATGCCCCAGTGGAGTCTCACTTGACCTTTAAAAATAATTTTGAGGCAGGGCCTTCAAACAAAAATGATGACAATGCCGAGGCAAATCTTGCTTTGAATGATGATGATTTTCAAGGCTTTGATGATCTTACTCATTTGGAAGTTGAAGATTTCTTTGGAGATCAAAACTAAATTTTGATCATTTTACTAGGGAATACAATTATGTTGTTATTTTTATTTTCAGTATTTTTGTCTCGTTTAAAGTTGTTTTTATTTTCAAGTAGTACTTAAGTTGTCTTATGTTGTCGTTGGTGATGTTAGTTTTCCCGCATTTCTTATGATGTAATTTTATTTTTTTATGAAGAAATTAAACTTCCCCCGTCTTCAACTGGATCCAAGATGAGTAATGAAGATCTATGTCTTTTGGATAGTGCTACAACTCACACAATGTTAAGAGAAAAGAAATTTTTCTCTTATTTGGTTATGAAAAAGGCCTATGTTAATACAATATCTGGTAGTACAAAGTTGATTGAGGGCTCTGGAAGAGCGGCCTTATTACTACCTGGAGGAACGATATTAACTATTGATAATGCATTATATTGTAGTAAGTCTCAAAGAAACTTATTGAGTTTCAAAGCTATTTGCCAAAATGGCTACCATATTGAGACATCAAACGAAGGAAAGGTTGAATACCTTTATATTACTACAATAAAAGCGGGGAAAAAATATGTGCACGAAAAATTACCCGCATTTTCTTCTGGGTTGTACCACACAAACATTGGTGTGGTTGAATCACATGCCATTGTAAACAAAAGGTTTACTACTTCTAATGATTTTATCATTTGGCATGACCGGTTGGGCCATCCCGGTTCTAACATGATGCGCAGAATAATAGAGAATTCAAATGGGCACACATTGAAGAGCAAGAAGATTCTTCAATTTAAGGAATTCTCTTGTGGTGCTTGTTCTCAAGGAAAATTGGTTATTAAACCATCAGCAGCTAAAGTTGGGATTGAATCTCCTGCATTTCTTGAACGTATACAGGGTGATATATGTGGGCCTATACACCCTCCATGTGGACCATTCAAGTATTTTATGGTCTTGATAGACGCATCTACAAGATGGTCACATGTGTGCTTATTGTCCACTCATAATATGGCATTTGCGAGATTGTTGGCCCAAATAATAAGGTTAAGAGCACAATTTCCAGATTATGCAATTAAGACAATTCGTCTTGATAATGCTAGTGAATTTACGTCTCAGGCCTTTATTAATTATTGTATGGCCACTAGAATAAAAGTTGAGCATCCGGTGGCTCATGTTCATACTCAAAATGGTCTAGCAGAATCATTGATTAAACACCTCCAATTAATAGCTAGACCATTGCTAATGAGGACAAAACTTCCCCTTTTAGTGTGGGGAAATGCTATTTTGCATGCAGCAGCACTTGTGCGCATAAGGCCAACCAGTTATCATGAAGCCTCCCCATTACAGTTGGCTTTTGGTCAGGAGCCAAATATTTCCCATCTAAGAATTTTTGGATATGCGGTATATGTTCCAATTGCTCCACCACAACGCGCAAAGATGGGTCCCCAAAGAAGGTTGGGAGTATATGTTGGTTATGAATCTCCTTCTATTATTAAATATCTAGAGCCTATGACATGAGATTTGTTTACAACCAGATTTGCTAATTGTCATTTTGATGAATTAATTTTTCCAACATTAGGGGGAGAAAATAAACAGCTGGAAAAAGATATAGATTGGAACGTATTATCTCTATCTCATTTGGATCCTCATACAAATCAATGTGAACAAGAAGTTAAAAAGATCATTATATGTTAAATATTGCAAATCAATTGCCAGATGCATTTACTAACCTTCCGCGGGTTACTAAATCGCATATTCCAGCTGTAAATGCTCCAATTCGAGTTGATGTCCTAGCTGGACATTATGATAATGCAAATGAGTCTAGGCCACGCCTTAAACGTGGTAGACCAATCGGTTCCAAGGATAAGAATCCCCGAAAAGGGAAAGGAGCAAATGATCAAGTTGATCATAACATAGAGGCAATTGCTCAAAAGGAGCATAAAGACATAATAATTGATAAAACCTCACAGGAGGTTCTAGTACCTGAAAATGATGAAAATGAAGAGATCTCAATAAGTTATGTCTCTACGGAAAAAAGGTGGAACTGGAATAATGTTGTTGTTGACAATAATTTTGCATATAACGTTGCAGTTGAAGTAATGCAACAAGATGAGGATCTTGAGCCAAAATCTGTCGATGAATGTAGACAGAGATATAATTGACCAAAATGAAAAAACACAATTCAAGCGGAATTGGCTTCACTCGAAAAACGTGAAGTTTTCGGACCAATAGTCTGAATGCCTGAAGGTGTCAATCCAGTGGGGGTACAAATGAGTTTTTGTGTGAAAACGAAATGAAAAAGGTGAAGTCGTAAGATATAAAGCACGACTTGTGGCACAAGGATTTTCGCAAAGGCCTGTCATTGATTATATGGAGACATATTCTCCTGTGGTAGATGCAATTACTTTCAGGTATTTAATAAATCTGGCAGTTCATGAAAAGCTTGATATGTGGTTGATGGATGTTGTCACAGCCTACTTATATGGCTCACTTCAATGAAATTTTTATAAAAATCCCTGAAGGATTTAAAGTTCCCGAAGCACATAAAAGTTCAAGAGAAACTTGTTCAATAAAGCTTCAGAAATCCTTATACGGATTGAAGCAATTAGGGAGGATGTGGTACAATCGTCTTAGCGAGTATTTGCTAAAGGAAGGGTACAAAAATGACCTTATTTGCCCTTGTGTCTTTATTAAGAGGTCTGGATCTGAATTTGTCATCATAGCTGTGGATGTTGATGACTCGAATATCATTGGCACTTCTAAAAAGTTTCCAAAGGCTGTAGAGTGTCAGAAGAAAGAATTTGAAATGAAAGATCTTGGTAAGACAAAATTTTGTCTTGGCCTACAAATTGAGCATGTACCAAATGGAATTTTTGTCCATCAATCAACATACACTGAAAAGGTTTTAAAGAGATTTTACATGGATAATACACATCCATTGAGTACCCCAATGGTTGTGAGATCGCTTGATATAAATAAAGATCTATTTCGACCTCAAGAAAATGATGAAGAGCTCGTTGGTGATGAAACTCCATATCTTAGTGCAATTGGGGCACTGATGTATCTTGCCAACAATACCCGACCAGATATTGCTTTTACAGTAAGCTTATTAGCAAGATCCAGCTTCTCCCCAACAAGAAGACATTGGAATGGTGTTAAGTATATATTTAGATATATTCGGGGAACTATAGATATGGGATTGTTTTATTCTAATGAATTCAAGTCAGAAATAATTGGCTATGCCGATTCAGGTTATTTGTCTGATCCACATAAAGCCCGATCGCAAACAGGCTATTTGTTTACATATGGAGGTACAACTATATCATGGCGTTCAATGAAACAAACAATAGCTGCCACATCTTCAAATCATGCTGAGATAATAGTCATTCATGAAGCTAGTCGGGAATGTGTTTGGTTGAGATCAATGACTCAGCATATTCAGGAAATGTGTGGTTTTCTTATGAAAAAAGATAATCCAACTACACTATATGAAGACAATGTTGCTTTCATCGCTCAACTGAAAGGAGGATACATCAAAGGAGACAGAACAAAGCACATTTCACCAAAGTTCTTTTTCACGCATGATCTTCAACAAAATGATGAAATTAATGTTCAACAGATTCGTTCATGTGAAAATTTGGCTGATCTGTTCACTAAGACATTACCAACACCAACATTTGAGAAGTTGAGACAGAAGATCGGAATGCGGCGTCTTCGAGAAATAAAGTGATGTTTTCATGAGGGGGAGTAAGATGCGCGATGTACTCTTTTTCCCTTAGCCTAGGTCTTGTCCCACTGGGTTTTCCTAGTAAGGTTTTTAAAGAGGCAGCAAATAAAGCGTATACAGATATGTGTACTCTTTTTCCTTCACTAAAAATTTTTCCTACAGGGTTTTTTTTTCTTAGTAAGGTTTTAACGAGGCATATTATCTATTTTTGGACATCCAAGGGGGAGTGTTGTAAAACCTATAGTTAATATGGATGTCCACTACTCCCACTATTTTCACCCATGATGTAAATAACCTCCCACTACTCATCACTATTATGATTGTAACTCTCACACCTCCATAATCTCTCCCCATGATCTTCCCCCATGATCTCAATTGTTAATATCATGTTTAAGACAATTATTGTGTAACCTTCATATGTAATAGTATAAATAGAGGCATGAAATGTGAGATGGAACACACTTGAACACTTGATGAAATAAGAAAGTTATCTATTCTTCTCTTATTCTACTTATCTTCTTGTTTTATATTGTTACTTTGAGCTACATTTCTTAACATCTATATATTATTATAAAAATATAAATATTCTACGCTAAATGTTAATCAACCAAAATATCCCTAAAATATTGATCGACTTTTACGTCCTTTATTAATTAGATCTATCTCTATATATTAATGTGCAAAATCGTAAACTTAGTAGAGTTCAAGTCAAAATGTAAAATTAGAATTGTTATCCACCTCATAATATGAATTAATCCAAAACAATGAATGTGTCCAAGTAAATTTGAATTCTTCCACTTCTAAATATCAAGAGACTTTTGAAGCAAAACAAATCAAACCAGCTCATGATTTTGTCCAATAATTTTGTGCAAGTAATACAAATCAGAAAAGAAGAAGACGTAAAGCAAATTGTCATTAAACGATGGTGATCTTTAATTTCTCCTACAATATATGCATTACACCAAGTTATCTAGGTTACATCTGACTACTTCTACCCTTTCTAGAGATGCATTGACAACATCTTTCTTAATTCGCCAAAGATTTGAAGTTACGTACTGATGTGAGGCTAGAAACTCGTATTTTAGCCGTAGTATTACATTACAATTACTGCATTTTTACGTGTGCTTAAGCTCAAATGATAGTGAATTACACTTAATACGTGTTTTATGCCTTGCAGGAAGTGATCCCGAGTTCAAAAGTTAATTTGGAGCTAAATCGATCAATTTGTAGCTTTGAAGTCTGAGTAAAAGCCCAATGTATTAAGCCAGGAGCGTGTTCGGAGGTCGTGTACCAAGTCTGGATGTCAAAAGAAGATAAA